TTTTAAGTACAACACGCTCTTTTCTCCTGATCTGACATTATTACTGTTGTTCTTTCTCCACAGATATATTTAAATTCAAGTCCACCTCCTTCCTGTTGCCTTTTCCATCGCTCTTTGCTCTCAATGCAACAATTTCATTTAGCACAGTGGCCAGATGTGCCAAAGACCTTTCTACCATTGATGCATTCACAGGTGTCTGTTTGTAAGTACTGGGTGTCCAGGTGTAAATGTGTGCCAAAACGGATATTCCGACAATTGCCTCAAAGCATCAAGACTTCTGCAGCAATGAACTTCTGTTTTCCCTAGGTTTATTAGTGTTTTATTCATCATTCTACCAGTTGCTGGAACTGTTTACAGTGCTGATCTCTGGAGGAAAGCTAAGAACAACAAACAGCCTCCAGATGCAAATTATGGGAGCACAACTTCAATGCAAAAACATACTAGTACATCAAAAACAGAGGGGAGACAGACCCACGAAGCCATATCAGGGATATTGCCACTGGTAGATGGTTCAAAGCAAAGTAGGTGTCTTAATATATTGTTTAAAATTATGTATATTCAGGAACAATGTGCATAAGACATTATGGGTAAGGATCCAAAAAGATAGTCATAGTTTAGCTCATTGTCTCCATGTTATGAGTAGCTAGCTTTTTCATACTGTGAAATATAAATGACAAAATGGTAAAGTATGATTTAGGGATCATACAATTTCCAACTTTATGGACTGTGCCTTCTGGGTTGATTCCCTATCTTGTTTCTTACTTGCCCTACTCAAGATCATTGAACTTAAAGCCTTACTGCAAGCTAATATATGATAGTAGTAGTAGTAGTGGTAGTAGTAGTGGTAGTAGTAGTAGTAGTAGTAGTAGTAGTAGTAGTAGTAGTAGTCTGGCCAGATACTCCATATGTTGATAATTTCCTAGCTGGATTACTGCAGCATGTTCCACATGATTATTGCTTTGGAGGCAATTCCATAGCTTCAGTTAATGCAAGATTCAGCTGTCAGAATTTTTCTGGAATAGCAAAGTCGTATTTCTGGCTCCAATTTGAATAGAACGATGCTAGTTGCTTATTTATTTCTAGAGTCAATTTAAGATATATTTATTTGTAAAATATTCTGATCATACTCTCTTACAATCAAGCTTATCTTTAAAACTGTAAATGGGTTGGGAGGCCAGATCTGCAAAATAGCTTTTGTGCGTCTAAAAGTTGCTTTCCTTAGGGGAAGTTCATTATGATTCTACATTAATGTTTTTCAACCTTGGCAACTTTAAGGTAGATGAACCTCAACTCCCAGAATTCCCAGCATGCTGGCTGGGGAATTCTGGGAGTTGAAGTTCATCCATCTTAAAGTTGCCAGGGTTGAAAAACATTGATCTATTTGAAACATTGATCTACTTGAAGCACCTGAGGACGTTCTCCCAAAGTATATATTTTTTCTGAATTTTGATACTTTATTATATTTATACCGACATGTCTAAGTTTATTCATGCTTTTGTACATTGCTGAGGAATGAATACAACCTATGCTACAATTAATATTTTGTGTTTTGATATTTTAGGTAACTTGGATTGCATTATGGAGTGTTTTTCCCTGCAAAAAAATCTTCCAGTTATTTGGATGACCCAATCTTCTCAGGATGTCTCTTTGGCTCTAAATGGACTTAGATCATTAAGTCTTTTGTGGATAATTTCTGGACATACAAGCCAAATGACAGCATGGCAGAATTTAGGTATGATCTGGAGATGCCAAAGCAAATCTAGTTCTCATTTAAATTGAATTGAATTGAAACTGAAATTGAATCTCCCTTTGGCAGTAAGCAAATTTTAGTAACCAAGGCCATTTGTAAACATTCAAGGGAAATGCTGAGGGCTATGTTTTATCCCTTTTTCATCTACTACACCTCTGGGTAAAAGCCATCCTTTAAAATGGAAATATAGGATTGTCAGATGGGATTTTATTCTTAGCAACAATTTTCAGGATAACTTGGAATTTAAGTATAGGTAGTCCTCAAGTTACGACTTCAAGTGAACCCAACATTTCTGTTGCTAAGTGAGACATTTGTTAAGTGAGTTTTGCCCCATTTTACGACCATTTTTGACACAGTTGTTAAGTGAATCATTATTAATAACATGTTTGTTAAGTGAATCTGGCTTCCCCATTGACTTTGCTTGTCAGAAGGTCACAAAAGATGATCACAAACTGGTCATAAATCACTTTTTTTCAATGACGTAATTTTGGTCACTAAATGAACTGTTGTAAGTTGAGGACTACCTGTACTATGGTTCCTTCCACATTGCTGGAGCATGGGCTAAATTGTATTTCTCACAATGAAAACATATTTTTTAAAAACTATTCTTAAAAAAATTATATCCGAATTTCAAAATAACACAGCTGAACTACATTGCCTCTACCTTTAAAAACAACAACAACAGGGTAGGGTCCAATGATTTATTTGGCTATGTAGAAGTGATTATGCCTGTTCCAATGCAGCCACCATTTCCATGTGCTTTTAAAACCTGCTCTGGGCAAAAAAGGGACAAGAGGAAGAACAAAATGCTCTAAAAGTGCTGTTATATGAGACAATTTCAGCTCAGGTGACATCGGATGACAGTTTGTGCTTGGGATTTTATAAACAGCAATAAACAGGCAGTTCCAGATTTTCTGTTTTTAAGCTATTGATTGGATTTATAACTAAATGTGACTTTTTTATGAACAGATATACCTATGAAAAAGTAGAATGGTTTCCTTCCAAAAGTTGTGGACTTTCCATCACTTGAGGTTTTTGAGAAGAGATTGGACAGCCACTTGCCTGAAATGATATAGGGTCTCCTGCTTGAGTAGTGGGTTGGACTAGAAGACCTCCAACGTCCCTTCCAACTCTATTATTATACGTTTTATGTTCCTATTTCTTAAAGGAGCCATTAAGCTCCAGAGAGAGAATCTATCCAGCTTTGGCTTCTTTTCCAAGCAGACATAGCTGCTTAAAGGTAGACAGTGCTTTTTTTCTTTAAAAAAAAAAAAGGTGCCGGAACTCACACACATCATACAGCCCACCTTGCCTACCCTACAAGGTTCCATTCAAAAAAGGTGCCGGAACTCCGTTCTGGGAGTTCTATGAGAAAAAAAGCCCTGAAGGTAGATAATATCTGAGATTTTTTTTAAAAAAATTGCTTAAAATAAATAGTATTTTTTATTTTAAAAAATGATTACACCTAATGTTGTAAAGATTATTGTGAGTAGATCTATAGGTCCCCGTATGTTTAAAAATAAAAGGTTTTGATAAATGTCTATCCCAAAATCCCTACCTGTACTTTCTTTTTATGTGTGTTGCTACAGATAATGTTCTGGAATGGGAGGCTAAAGTACTAAAAAACCCTATCTACATATATTCTCGAAGTGGTCCATTTTATTTAGGTGTTGACACATTTTTCATCATTAGGTAAGTCAAACATTAGTAGCAATTTCCACCATTGCACAAACTTATGCCTACCTACTTATGGCATTTAAGTTTCCTGTGTTGTTATATGTGTGTGTTCACTTTAAGAGTGTATGAATTGGAGGTGGGATTGTTTAAGCAATACAAGCCATAATGTCTAAATGGAGATTGTCAATCATCCAAGTCATGGTTGTCCCAAAGGTGCTTTTTCTGCTGAAGCTTCTTGGAAGAGAAGCAAAATGTTTTCAAAGAAAAAAACCAAGAAAGTCCAGTTGCCTTTTGGAAAAAGCACTTTCGGTACAAGCCATGGTAGCATAATATAATTTT